GTGGTGTGCATTCTAGCTGATTTTCTATTATTGTTGTTTTGAATGATCTCCAAGCATTTTGAAGGGATTTCGCTCTCTTAACTCTCCCTTTCAACTTCCTTTTAAAGAGTTCCCTCAGTGTAGAGAAATTTCCTCTTTTGAAGACAAATGTGACTTTACTTTCTTTATGTCAGCTATTTCAAATGTATGGAAATGCAATAAACTAGTAAGTTTACTTTCCTATTAAAAAGCTGAAAGCCCTCATATGCATTTATAGGATTGTTAGTGAAAGGGCTCCCATATCTTTTTACCCTGCATAAATATATAGCAGTGTTTTATTTGGTATTCATAAAGATTCTGTCAACAGGTGCATGTGTGTGCAGAACTGATAATAACAAATCTAAAGAGGCAGCACATTGACTCATTTCTTGTTATGTGCTGATATTGGAATATTGTATAGTATATTGTCTCCTCTTAGAATCTAGCAATTTCTTGAAGATTGGCTGTCCATTAAGAGCAAATGTGCTGATCTAGGCTGTTGTATGTTCTCAGCATTGCTATTGATGAATACATTAAACTAGTTCATTTGGTTCACAATACAGAAAAAAATTACATCTATGATGCAGCATTTCTGGAACATTGCCTTTACACATAGTTTCCTAAAATGGTTTGTAAAACTGTGATGTATTGTAAACATATTGGTTCCAGAAAGAGCTAAGTGTGGGGTTAGAAGTAGGATACAGCAGCAGCACGGCTGTTCAGGAATCAGGCCATGTCAGGGAATGGGACTGACTGCCAGTCCAAGTACTAAGGGTTGAGCGAAAGGGAGAGGTTTTGTTTGTGTTAGATACTTATTTGGAAAGAGATCTGAACTAGAAATGAAACTGCACTGTTGGTAGGGGAAAACTGCCTAGTGATTTATTTTACTTCCTATACCACATACTGTGAAAAGTTATTTATCTGCTAAATTTATTTACAGTGTTTTCAATGTAGGGGTAATTTACATACAAAGTTACAAAGAACTTTAAAAAGGGCTGCATGTTTTTCCTGGTCTTGTCTGTGCATTAACCTTTGCAATAGCTGTACAAAACTTTGAATGCAGAAGCAAATCAGTTCCAGTCTCTTCATACTTTTCTGCTGGCTTTTCAGATATGTTTGTATGAGCAGATATCTGCTCATGCAGTAGGAGTTTCCCTTCCCCTTCTCATCCCTGAAATCTCTCACACCCAACCAAACCTCTGTCCCTCTGGAGCTGATTTGAGGCATGCACGGGAGGCTGTAAGCAGAAGGAAGTATTTGGATGCAATGGATGCAACCCATTATTTTGAATGATCACAATCTAGAGGAAATCAGTCATACCTAAACAGTCACATTTCTCTATATGTAATTTTCTTCTGTTTTGAAAAATCTCTGGCCATGCTTATCATATGAGTAGAAAATATAAGCACAGATGTATAGTGTAAATCTGCTGCTTGACTTAGGTATGGAGAAACACAGGGCCAAGTTAATGAACTGACACGTAAGTAGCCCAGTCGTAAAACCTGCATCAGAGAATAAATGCTTAAAGAGATGTCACTATCATTTTACAGTGTAATATCACTGAGTGCAGGAATGCAGAAGAATATTTACAAATGTACCTCTTTCAGTGTGTTGTTAGCATTGCATGAAGGCTATTCTGCGTTGGAGGCAAATGTGCAAATGTTAAAACTGGGAGAGCAAGTTAAAAGCCTACTGCTACTTGGTGAATTAATTGTCACAGTGAATGCTTAGAAAACTCTTTCTTTGGCATCAGATACTGGAAGAGAGGTACCTTCTATGCAGTTATATGATACTATTTAAACCATAAGGTGGTCCTTGATATTATAATGTACTTTCTACCTGCTATATAGATTATTTTCCTGCCATCCCCCAATACTTAGTTGAAACAATGAATGAATAATATCTTCTTATACTGTCTAATTGTTGCTCCAAGTAGCATAATATTGACCATCCTGATTGGCAGTGTCTCCCCAAGGAATCAAACAAGGGCCTTTCCCAGGTGTGCTGCCTGTCACAGTTTTCACTGGGGGTGCTGGAGAGAGAATGTAGAGGGTTCACACACTTTGTGTGAAGATAAAGAGCAATGCAGATTGTTAGAGATGATACATGTGCTATAATGACTAGTGTCACATCTCAACACTGTCTTATCAGCATCATTCATGAAAGGAGCAGAAATAAGTCATATTAATAATTTTCCAGGGCAGAAATCCTGTACATATTTACCAGACAATAAATCCCATTGATGGCTGTGGACCATGTGTCAGATTGGAGCATGAAATCATGGAAAGCAGGCTTAGACTTACAGAGACCATTGGTTCATCTAGCCTTGTATTGTTGCCATGCACTAGGAGTAGCTCTCCAGGATTTCAGGCAGAATTTTATCCTAGCCCCTCCTGGAGACATTAGAGATCAAACTTAGGGTCTTCTACATGCACAGCATGTGGTCTTCCACTGACCTAGTGCTCAGTAAGCTGAGCGACTGTTATCAGTGAATGTTTGTTGTGTTGGCTGAGCCATGGGATGGTGATTTACTGCGATAAGAAATCTATTCTACAGTTTCTCTCTCTCACAATTGCTTATTGTGTTGTCAGAACTTGATGGCAACTCAAAATTCCCAGAAGAGAGCCATTTTGCAAGAATGGCCACCACTGCTCTTGCCAAACAGATAACTAGAAATCATGGCCAAGATCTGCCCAAGTTTGGCGCAGCAGCCAGAGGGGTCTTGGCTGCTCCTGCCTCCTGCTCCAGAGACCTTTGTGCCTAGAACTGGGCCAGTGGACTGGATCCAGCTATTTGAGACCACGCCACTTAGCTCACACTTGAAAGACTTTCTCCTGTGCAACCAAGAAGGGACAATCCCCACTGAATCCAGGCTCCTCCTTCCCCTCTCCTGTTCAGTAGGAAACCACTCAAGCAAGAGCGGGGAAGGGAGAACTTGAATAGGCAAGGATGAAATTAAGAATATATAATGTGAACAATAAATATGAATAACACATCATAGTCACAGAAGAACTTCTGGTTGAACATTAGACCACGGTTATGCCATTATTAACTTGTCACAGCTTGCTTATGTACAATGGAAGACTATTCATTTTGTGTATGGTAATTTAGTGTATGTACAGTACATTTAAAACAGCCATTGCATAACATGGAAGTATATCTAATTTTTAAAAAAATATCATTGGGGCAAAAAATAAGAAATCAGTATAGTTAGTCCGGCTCCAAAGTGACTAGCTGGCGCAAAATGTACTGCCTTGTGGGAGAGAGTTAAATAAAACTGGATATTTATTTCTAGCTGAAATGTGTCAAGTAAGATTTGCTAAGGTTATGCTACTACTTTGTTACACTCCAGCAATGTCATCAGATCCTGACTGACCTTAATATTGGGTGTTTGAAATTTCTTATCTTTAATGTTATTTCACTTTAAGAGTAGCCTGCATCCTTTAAATGAAACCATAAACATAATTTCAGCCTTCTGGAGCCAGGGGAAACATCCTCTTCTACTGTTTCCAGTCTATTTTGAATTGTATGTCTGGATTCCTTAATGAATTCCCTAATTAATTTCTGTGTTAATTGGCAAAAACAGCTTCTGTGAAACAGCTGAAATAAGAATTCAAAATTACAGTGGTATGGGATGGCCTTATTTTGCTTGTTTTTTGCTTTAAGTTGATGTTATTGAATGCTCTGTGCAAAGAGGTCCCCTTTAAACACAAATATACATGCACAGCAGAGAAACCATGGTAGTAAAAAGGAAAAATTACTTCACCCAATAATTATTATGAACAAGGACAGGATATATTTAAGGGCTTCAAAGAAATTGCATTACACTTTAGAGTTAATTTGCTGTTTTAATATGTGGAAATATACTGGTCACAAAACTTATATTGTACCTCTTGGTTATGTGGAGCCTCTTTTTTCAGTCAACTGCTTGTTTTCCACTTAAGTTTACTTAAAGTTTTACTGAAAAGAAATATACAAAGACAGGCATTGAATTGAGGATTAATCACTATGGCAACCAAAATGTGGTGACTGAAAAGGGGGAGGATGTATTCTCCCCTCAGCTTCCTGCCAGCTGTCATATTCAACCTTTGCGGCGTGAATCCAGTCCAAAATATAGACTGTGACTGGCTCTGAGAAATTATATCTGTATATTTATAAATTGGTACAAGTATCACACTATAAAAGAAGACTTAATCCCCTGAATTGGATGACAGACACTTGGCACTCTTGACAGTGTTTGACAGAGAAATAACAGGATGCTTTGTAGTAAAACCTGGATTAATGGTAAACCCCTCTTTATGTTATTGCAGTGTGGTGTAAATGAGAGAACTAAGCATTCTGTCAGCCTAGGGGAAAAAAACGTGCCCTTTCTATGCTCAGTGCAGGTTTAAGTGCTCCATGGAATACTGTAAATACAAAAGTAGTGTTATTAAGAACTTTTTTGTGGCATTTATATTTTGTATTACATAGGTATTTTTCATAGGTCGTGTAAACAAAAGGATTTCTGTCACTGCAGTAGAATTGAGTGCAGAGTATTTGTACCAATCTTGGAATCAGCAAGAAAGCTGAAAGGGGAGGGAGAGCCCCTAGGTTTTCTATTGTCTTTTTGGTCCATGACAGGGAAATTAACTACACTAAAGGAAGGGGAGGGAGGCAAACCCTTGTATTAATGGACTTCAACATTTTACTGAATTTTATGTTTCAGGATAATAAAGAATTAACCAGTGTGCTTTTAAAGTTTTTATCAAGTATACTGTTTCCATGCTTCCTATGCCACAGTCACTTCCGTTTGGAACAGGTGCTGTTTGGAAGCTTTTTAAATTTGGTGATACGTGCTTTGCTTTTAAAAGTTAAACTTTTTTTTAAGGATTTGAATTTACAGAGGAAACCTACAGTATGACATAACCGAAGTGTAACTGAAACATGGTGGGATAGCTTCCATGACTGGAATTCAACAATAGAAGGATATCACATTTTCAAGAAGGTATAGAAAGAGTTGCATTATATACTGAAAATACATATTTCTGCTCAGATATACAGGAGGATGAGCTTAGTAGCTCCTTTGAGAGCATATATATATATTAATATTAATGGAACAAGGAATAAAACCACACAGCCAAGGAGAAGTTAAGGATGAAACTTTAAAAAAAACACAAACATTGCCAGTGTTTCAAGGAGGTATGATGTAGTAGTTATAGGGGACTTTCAGTTTCCTTGATATCTATTGGGGGACACATTCTGCCAAACACAGCCCCTCCAAGACATTGCTAACATGTGTTGCTAATAAGTTCCTCCTACAGAAAGTGGAGGAAGGAACTAGATGAACAACTGTCCTTGACCTGCTTCTAAGCAACAGGGAAGACTTAGCAGACAGACTGGTAGTTACAGGAGCTCTGAAGGAAAGTAAGTGTGCCATACTTCAAATTTTGATGCTAAAGGAAGCAAAGACCAAATCTGGCCAGATACCTTAGATTTTAGGAAAGCTATTTTAATAAACTCAGAACAAGATAGGTCCCATATCAAGTGACTCTAATGAGAAAATGATTTTTAAAAAAGGAAATTCTAAAGGCACAGTTCCAACATGAAAATGGTAGAAGGCAACAGGACAAGCCAGTGTAGCTTCACAAAGGGCATACAGTTGATCTGAAAAGCAAAAAAAGGACACATATGGGAAGTGGAAGGGAGGCCGCAGTACAAAGGAAGAGTACATGCAGGTAGCACAGCTAAAGCTGAGAATGCAATGAAGTTAGCAAGGGATGCTAAAAGCAACAAAAAAGCCTTTAGGCATGTCCCTAGTAAAAGACAGAGAAGAGGAATGGTGGTTCAACTAAGTATGGATAATAAAATTGATAACAGGTGACAAAGAAAAGACAGAAGTGTTCAATTCCTAGTTTGACTCAATATTCCAAAAAGGCATCTATGACCTTCCTTATGAAAGGGAAGTACAAGCTGAAGGAGCAGGATGGCAGCTTGAGACTGATAGGTCAAGGATCACTTAATTAGTTTGAATGAGTTCAAATCTCCATGGCTTGATGAGATGCATCTTAGATTAATAAAAGAACTGAAGAAAGAACTCTTGAGAACCACTGTATGTTATTTTTGAGAAATCATGGAGAATGGGGGAAGTGCCAGATGACTGGAGAAGGGCTGATGTTGTCCGATCTTCAAGAAGGGAAGAAAGAAGAGCCTGGGAACTACAGACAAGTCAGTCTGAAATAATTACTTGGGAAAATTCTGGAGTAGCTTATGAAGCAGTCAGTCTGCAAACACCTTGAAAACAATGCAGTGATTACTAGAAGCCAACATGGATTTGTCAAAAAACCATCCTGCCTGTTCTCACCTTTTGACTGGGTAACTTCCCTTGTTGACTGTGGGGATGTTGTGGGCATAATATATCTTGACTTCAACAAAACTTTTGACAAAACAACCTATGACATTCTGATCAACAAAACTATATAAAAGTGGGCTAGATGAATTGGACTCAAAGAAGGTGCTTCTCAATGACACCTTCTCAAACTGGGGAGAGGTAACAAGTGGTATACCACTGGGTTCAGTCCTGGGTCCAGTGCTCTTCAAAATTTTTATTAATGATTTGGATGGGGAGGTGCAGGGAAAAATGATCAGATTTGCAAATGACACTAAACTGGGTGGGGTGGGATAGCTAATCACCTGGAAGACAGAAATAAAATTTAAAGTGATCTTGATAGGCTGGACTGCTGGAAATTTAATAGGGACAAATGGCAAGTTCTGTACTTAGGAAAAACAAACCAAATGCATAGTTACAAGATGGAGGATGCTTCGTTCAACAGTACTGCAAGTGAGAAGGATCTTGGTATTGTTGTAGATCATAAACTGAGTATGAGTCAACAATGTGATGTGGCTGTGAAAAGGCAAATGCTGTTTTAGGCTGCATTAATAGAAGTATCACTTCCAAATCATGTGACGTACTGGTTCCTTTTTATTCAGCACTGGTTTGGCCTCATCTAGAGTATTGCATCCAGTTCTGAGCTCCACAGTTTAAGGAAGACAAACAATGCAGACAAACTGGGAATGGTTCTGAGGAGGGCAACAAGGCTGATCCAGGGATTGGAAATAAAATTCTGTGAGGAGAGATTGAAAAAATTGGACATGTTTAGCCTCGAGTAGAGAAATCTGAGTGGACTGAACAGGATAGCACTCTTCAAATACTTGAAAGGTTGTCACACAGAGGATGACCAGGATCTCTTGTTGATCATCCCAGAGTGCCAGACACAGAATAATGGGTTCTAGTAACAGGAAGCCAGGTTCTGATTGAACATCAGGAAGAACTTCCTGACTGTTAAAGCAACCCAACCACAGAACAATTACCTAGGGATGTTTTGGGCTTTTCCACACTAGAGGCATTCAAGGTGCAGCTGGATGTAGTTGTTTAGCTTAGAGTGCTGCACTGAGCAGCGGGTTAGACCTGATGGCCTTCTTGGCTTCTACCGACTTGACTATACTATGACTCTATGATTCCATGATAGTAGGTATAACTTTATTTGTGGGTTTGAGAAGGGAAAGACCATTCCATTCTGTATTGTAATTTCTTGCCTCATTGCAAGGAGGTGGCTGGGAAGCAGAATCTGATCAACAGAAAAGACCTTGACTGACCTGTTGACTTAATTATTACTAGCACTCTCCTAGGTATACCAGGCATGGTAAATTTGTAATGGAAATAAATTGATCTGTTTATTGATACAAAATAGTACTATGAACTTAAAAATAGACTTGGCAATTCAAATATCTAGAAAATAGTAGAAAGCAACCCTTTAGTCCCTGAGAGCCCATATTCTGGACAATTGGATAGTTCAGAATCCCCCCCCCCCCCCCCACCCCCCCTGCCTGGCTGCAGAGGCATAGGCACTCATCCTCAGGTGTGGGACCCTGAGGCTCTTTTCCTTCTGGCACAGTCCACTCCAGAAGTGGCTGCTTCTGAGGTCACAAAAAGTGACCCTGGACAGCTCTTTGAAGGGAAAAGGGAGGGCACGATGCTGGGCAGTAGAAGAGGGGCCAGGAAACAAAATGTCCAGTGACCTTTCTTTTGTACTTTCCTGCCCACCACTGGTAGGTAAATTAGCGGAACAGGAGTCAAAGCCAGCTTTCCACCACCTGGCAACAGCCTGGCAGGAAATGGGAATTTTGAAGCCTACAAGCTCACCCATTTCCATCTATGGGGATTACATTCCCTTAGGCTTGCATCTTTAATGGCTTAAGAATAGGATTGGCAATCAATCAAAGCAAGATTGGCACTTCCCGCTCTAGCATTACTTTACCTGGTATCTTCTGGATACATTGGACTTCAGATCCCAGAATCCCCCCTAGGAAAACTACCATCATTTTTTTTATCATTGGTGGCAAATTGAGCCTGCAACACATAATAAACATGTAGATTATTTTACTTTTACATAATCCATGGGGAAAATTCAACTGGGAGCCCTACTTGGCACATTCCAGCATATTTTTGAAACAGGTAATGTTATGATTTAGCATCTGCTGTGAGGCCTATTCGTGTTTCTTTTAATGTCTTATTAGATATTTGACTTAGTTTCTCCTTATCAACATGCCTTCAACATGAGCCAAGATGCCAAAGTCTCACATGGTCTGTTGCATCAGCAAAGTTCCAAGTGGCTTAAATAGAGTTGATTTTTCCATTGTTGTCATCCATTTTGGTCCATCATGACTGCTCTGATGTTTGCTAACTTTGGTGGTTCCTTTGGCTTCGCAGCGCACAGATTAACAGCAATATCAACAAAATTTTAACTTATCAAGGTGGAATATTTTCTCTTCTACATGATACAGTTTGAAAGGCAGTGGTGTGCTTGAAGCTGTGCTGAGCCTAAATACTTGATTGTCACTTGTAAAAACTCACAGATGTTAGTTTGGATGGATGTGCGGCTTTGAGTATTCAACAGATTCAAATGAACCCAGTATTCCGGCATCAACAGGCATTGCTGGTGGGTTTGTTTAGCCAGTTGGCTTTCATCCAGAAGGCTGAGTTAAGATACTTCAAGGATAATTCATGATTGCTTGAAGCTTGTTCGCCCATTAGCTTGCAGGATAGTCTGTTTACAGAAACTTATTTTTTAGCCGCCAGGCAGAAAACTTCAAACAGTTAATTTTGAGAAGAATTTCTTAAGAAAAAAAGAAGAGAGTTTTGTAAGTACATTTAGAATTGTTTTTGTCCTTTTCAAATTACAGATGCCATCTGTAATAATTTATTTAAATAGAAGTGAACAATACTAGTTTTAACAGCAATTCTGTTCCCTTACAAAATGAGAAAGCTTGTGGCTGCTTACCTAACCTGGCTATTTTCCAGATAGGTTTTTTTTTTTAACTAGACACAAAGCTAGATAAACCTTTGATGTTCGGCAGATGTTTAGGTCAAATTATTTGATATTATCTAATGAATAAGGTCAACAAGTTGAGCTTTCTAAGATTTTACTTCCTGGCAAATAGATGGGGAAGAAATGGAGGCAGTGACAGATTTTATTTTCCTGGGCTCCAAGATCACTGCAGACTAGGACTGCAGCCAAGAAATTAAAAGATTCTTGCTCCTGGGGAGAAAAGCTATGGCAAATCTAGACAGCATACTAAAAAGCAGAGATATCATCCTGCCAACAAAAGTGTGTATAGTCAAGGCTATGGTTTTCCCAGTTGCAATGTATGGCTGTGAAAGTTGGACCATAAGGAAGGCTGAGTGCTGAAGAATTGAGGCCTTTGAATTGTGGTGCTGGAGGAGACTTCTGCGAATCCCCTGGACCGCAAGGCAATCAAACCAGTCAGTCCTAGAGGAGATCAACCCTGACTGCTCTTTAGAAGGCCAGATACTGAAGATGAAACTCAAATACTTTGGCCACCTAATGAGATGGACTCCCTGGGAAGAGCCTAATGCTGGGAACAATAGATGGCAAAAGAAGAAGGGACAGCAGAGGATGAGGTGGCTAGATGGAGTCACTGAAGCAGTCGGCGTGAGCTTAAGTGGACTCCGGGGGATGGTGGAGGACAGGAAGGCCTGGAGGAATGTTGTCCATGGGGTCGCAATGGGTCAGACACGACTTTCTCGTCTAACAACAACAAGAAGATTTTAAAGATTTTCTAAGAAAGATATTGATATGATGATTAAACCTATTTGCTTTCCATGAATTCTATTATACAATGTTAGTGTCCATTTGAATTCTCTGAAGGTTGCTAATACTGTAGGAGCCCCAGATTGCCCCAGATCAGAAGCAGGAGCCCCAGATTGCCCTTGGGAAAGGAGAAGCATATGAGGGAGTGGTAACTGCAGTTGGTAATGGAAACTGTTGGCCATCCACCTTAAGGGTCTTTGGCCTGCTCACCTCTATCCCTGCGTATAAAATTAGTTGCTGACTAATGTAATACTGATGCAGTTCTAAACTTTTTCTGCACTGCTCAACATTTCTGCCCATTCTAGACACATTCCAACCATCAAAATCATTCAAGGACACCTCATTTTTCTAACCCCAACTCAGTGATGGTGAATCTTTTAGAGACCGAGTGCCCAAACTGCAACCCAAAACCCACTTAGTTATTGCAAAGTGCCAACACTGCAATAAAACCTGAAAACTGAGGTGTTAGTTTAGGAAAAACAACTCACAGCCAGTCGAAGCAAATATATATATATATCCTTGGCAGTGCACTGACCTGCCATGCGAAAGCTTAGACGAGTCATGGCTAATGAGTCGCGGCTTGTGACATCATTGCCTGGCACCACTACTTTCTGAGCATGCACATGACCCCTATGTATGCTGTTGCCCGATGCTTGGCTGCTGGGGCGACTTGGCTCGCATGCCTGCTGCGGCACGTGTGTCATAGGTTCGCCACCACTGTCCTAGGCTATCTTACATATATCTTCTAACAGCATGCCATCCTGTTTCTCCTATCTTACTTTGAAGATACTGCTATCTTTGTCATTTATCTAGGTTTCCAAACAGTTGCAGGAACATGATAAGCATTCCTTTCATTATGTGGCCAGAGGCTGTAGACAGCACGCTATCTGTGTGATCACAGCTGCTGCACCATCCTTTGCTAAATGTCTGAATCCATTCCAAGTTGGTGCTTTTACTGCAGCTGCACCCTTCTATTGGCGCACAAAAGCGTAGGGCAAGTGGTTGTGCCAAAATAGGACCAGGGATAAGATTCTATTGAAAGATAGGTAGGCAAGCTACCTATGGTTGAGGCTACAATGCAGCTAACAGAAATCTGTGAGAGGATCAAACTGTTTATCGGGAAGCAAGCCAAAGAGGATCTGAGACATTTATTTTGGGGTTTGGTGAGTTGGCTGAATGTTTGTATAAATGCAAAAATTAGATTTGGTTAGATTCAGAGACAGAAGTTCCTTTGATCTCATGAAATCCATTATTCAAATTAGTCATGATTAATCTTAGATGCATCAGTTTCAGTGCGGTGTGCACTGAAACTGAACAAGCCTACTCTGAAGGGTGTGCACTTATGTTAAATGTTGCTTGGTTTAGGTAGGGGGATATAAGATTGCAGTCTAAGATTAGGCCCTACAGTTTGAATAATTTCCTTTGGATATAATGCATGGTTATTGAGAATAGAAGCTATTGTTGTTGCACAGAATGAGGTATCTCAAGTGAATTTGTACATAAATACTGTAATGTGGTGGGTACTTTTGGGTATACTATAATGTGGGATACCTTTGACGATTGCTCTGAAATTTTGGTTGTTCTCAAATAGAGCAGGTATGTTATTAACTCAGGATGTACTTTGCCAGATCTGAAACGACTGGTTACCAGTCAATTTACAAACACAGTTCAGAAGTCTCCCCTCCCCTCCCCTTCCTCCTGATCCCAGCCATGTAATACAGGTCTAAAAAACTAATTTATGTATATAAGAGCATATTGCTTATTTGATTCTGTTTATTTGGCAATTATTATATGAACTTGAGGCCACCCATTAGGTCCAGACTGGGTTAGTGTGGTGTTCCTTATATGGGACTGTCTTTAAAGATAGTCTGAAAATTGCAGTTAAAAATTTCAAAATGTAGCACTAAAATGTTTTTGATCTTGGCAATCCTATCATGTTGCTGTTGTATGAACCAATTTGATTGCCTGTTTGTTTCTGGGTTCAGTGAAAAGTGCTAGTGTTCACCCTTAAAGCTTAATGGCCTGGGACCAAATTACCCCAAGAACCATCTTCTGCCGTAAGAATCTGCTTAAATTATAAGTTTGTCTTTAGAGTCTGTGCGCTCCTGAACAATGGGTAGGTAAAAGCAACACAATCTTTTCAGTTGGAGTGCCAAAGGTGTGTCCTCCATTGGTGTTCTGTTGGGTTCACTCTCTTCCTGTTTATAGATGGATTTTAAAGATCTATTTATTTGCCCAGGTTTTTAAACACTGTTCTGCAATGTATAAACTGTTTTAGTTTAATGTTTTAGTGCTGCTTAATTTTTAAAGATAGGACTGCATTTATATTTAATGTTGGTTTTCTTTTACAATATCTCATTGTTCACTTACTTTTTGTATGTTATGTTGTCTTAGTGGTCTGTTCTATAAAAGTGGGATATAAATTAAATAATCTGCATTTCAGCTAGTCTTCTCTCTGCCTATTCCCCATACTTGGAAATGTCCCATCTATACTAAGGCTCATCATACCATTTAGCATGATGAGCCTTACTGCAGAATAGATGCAGAGGTGTCATAGCTGAAGTGTTAATTGTTTATGGAGCACTTATTATTATTACATTGCATTTATATCCTGCCTTTTCCTCTTGTGAGGAACCCAAGGTGATTCTCCATTCCATTTTTATTCTCACAGAAGCAACCCTGTGAGTAGGTTAGGCTGAGAGTCAGTGACTGTCCCAAAGTTATCCAATGAACTTCATAACTGAAGAATCCTGATTTCCCAGGTACCCAGTCCAGCACTATAACCACTGTAATACCTGGCTCTGTGACCACTGTAATACCCTGGCTCTTTAAAAATCAACAGTCAAATTTCCTAATAGAAACATCAGAAAGATGATGGAGAATACCTTACAGTCAACTAAAAAAAGATGATAAGTATACCATGAACTGGAAACTCAGCTAAGGATAAAAATCAAATATAGTACCAACACCCAAGACAGAAACAAAATTACAGGAAATACTTAAGTGTATTATTTCTAATTTGGTTTAGGAAGACAGAAAACATTCAGAAGAAGTTTCTTCAAGGAGTACCAAGAGGGATAATTCATTAGGTGTAAGCAGTAAGCCATCAGTTCTTTATCTTACACATCCTGTATGCCAGAAGCAGAAGAGAATCCACCAAATAGGCTCAGTTACCTTCCTAGTTGGAAGAACACCGAAAAGAATCCGCAGGTAAGAATACAGTGGTGGATTGTAACTATATCTTAAAAGGGCCTTAGTTTCTTCGGTTCTCACTGAACCTCTGTTGTATATGGTTTAGCTTGTGGTTGGAATTGTTGAAAAATGATATGTTGCAAATGAGTCCTTACCGGAACTTTTAAAGTGGACCCAATTAAATTCCCGTAAATCATTTTGGGATAAGTTAATGCAGGATAAGCTGCTGAGTGTAAGGTTCAATCTTCCAAAGTCTTTCCCTACTGATTTGTCCAATGTTAGAGAGAAGGCTTTGGAATTGTTGAGGATATTAGACCATGAGGCTATTAATCTAGATGCTAGGAGATGCTGCTTCCCTCATTTGGGGGACTTCTCAGCCCCTATTTTTCCTCTTCTACCAAATTATTTTACCTTTTTAACAGCCCCAGCTCTTTTTCCTGACTAGAGTAAATGCTGTATCACTTGCAGAACAGTTAGGCTGCTGTGAGGGTATTAGCTACTCCCAAAGACCCTGCCCTTGTGGCAGAGGTGTGATTGAAGCTTTACCACATTTCTGTTCAGTTGCCACCTACTTTCTTCTGCAAGAGCAACCCTTATATTGCGTTTACTAGGTTCCCTCTCTGCTCACATGATTTCCATCTGCCATTCCTTTTGGCAGGCAGTGATGGGTATGTCACCCTGTCTGGGTAAAGTTTATATTCTGTGCCTTAAAAACTTGACAGGCATATGTTAAAAATAATTCTGGGGTTAAACATCAGTGAGCCTGTTGATATATATCAATATATTAATCCATTTCGCCAAGGTTCTGATTTTGGAACAGGAACACGATATGTTGCAAGAACAATATTATTTTGAAAAATTGTCATTTTCCCAGAAAACAAATTCAGAAGACACTGTGCAAGAACACTAAGACAATGCAATTCCTTTAGCTCATGGTACCTACTCTTTTGTTATAGAGATCATGTTTAAAATGCATTTCAAATGTATCTGAAATCTTTCCATGATGGCTTATTGTCACTGTAATGGTGTCCTTATTGAAAGTAATGTTGACCCGCAATATTTAGGAGTTGCCTTATTACCTGGCAAACAGTTAATAGGCGACATTAATGACTGCAGCATTGTTGTTTATTATCCTATCTACAGAAGTAACTATTGCAGAAATTAAAACCATGGGGTGAATAGGAGTTTTTTTTACAGGCACCATCTTTCTGTGTGCAAGATAATAATGACTATACTAATTACTGCTGCTTAGTGAACTCAGTACCAGTGAACAAAGAAATACACACATTGCAAATCTGGATTTTTGTAATCATTGCCATAGTTGTTATAGAAATTACTGGGGCTGCCATGATGTGGAAGACTATGTGTTTATTTGGGTTATACTATTTGTAACCAGCAGCTTCTCTTCAGAAGAGATGGTTTTAAAAATGTGTGAAAGTAGATCTTAGGTCTTTTTAATCAGCAAGCTGAGTCTGACCAGCAGCCTATTTAGCTCTATATTGTCCACACTAAATGGCATGGGCTTTCCAGCATTTCAGGCAGGGCTCTTAGCCAGCTCAGATTAGAGATGACAGAGACTGAGCATGGGCCATTTGCACATGCTTTATCACTGAGTTATGGCTCCATAGATATGTGATTGTAGAAGCAGGTCTGTCTATCTGAAATTACATGTTGAAAGGAGGTAAGGAAATTGAGTACTTCTCCCGTTTTTGTTGACCTCCTGTGGATTAGATAGAGCTCCTTTGTGAAATATGCAGTGGCCCAAAATGTCACCTTTCATTTGAGGGCGCCTTCATCATGCATTTATGACTGAAGTGGAAAAGTCTGAACTTTAGCATCTTCTTTTCATGTGGTAGAGTGCCCATGTGAAATCTTCAGAACTGCCAGGTCAGGAAAAAAATAAAATATTAGTTTAGAAAACTTTTCTCTGATGTAGTAATTTTAGAGATTTCCCTCTGAAGCAGTTTCAGGTAGATTTGCTCCCCATGTGGAAATCAGGCATTAAAGGGAAGGCCCTGCATGTGATCTTTACTGCTTCAGAAATAAAAGTAAGAGTTTTTAGACACTCTGACATCTGGCTTTGTACTTCTTTCTAGCTGTACATGTCCAGATATTCATTTTCTATCTAATCTCTACATTGGTAGCAACAGTTGTTGGCATTCAACTCAATAGCCCAGTTAAGTTGTCATTTAGTAGAAATGCAGCTCCAAATAGTTTACAGTAAATAAAAAGCAACAATAAGATAGATCGGGGTCTCCAACATTTTGGGGCTGGTGACCACATTTGGAATTCTGAGTTACTACCATAGGTGCCTGCACAAAATGGCTGCCATGGGGGGATTGTCCACTCATAAAATGACTGTCATGGTGCATGTGGCCAGTCACCAAAAAAAACACCAATTTATCGTAAGGCAAACTAGTGAGGTTTTTTTAAAAAAGCTACTTTGCCAAGTATTGAGCAATGCATTCTTATTGTGAAAACTCATTACAAAAACGGGGAGTGCTACGCAGAGACTGTCTGTAAACTTCGTGCAATCTATTGCTAGGCCACTGGGAGCAATAGAGATTGAAGGCTAGAAGCAGTCACTTCTATGGCCACTCTTACCAGGGGACTCCATGGTGTTTTCATACCAAAAATTGTGAAATGGCAATCATGGGTTCTGGATAACTGGCAAAGGCAAGACAGGGCTGAGCTTGAGAGGAATTTGGTGAATGCTAGAGAAATGGATTCTGTCAAGCTTGGATGCATGCCCAGTTTCAGAAAACTAATCCTATCAGGTGGGATCTCTGGAGTTGGGTCCAGAAAACACAGCAGAACCACAATGGTAAGATTTCACCATGGCTTCTCCTGTGTAAACCTGCCAGATGGGCAATAGTTCTGACAATGCAGACTGTGCTGTTAGTAGTAGCTCAAATCATCTCTTCTCTGAAAAGGCCCATTGATCTTGATTTGGTCATAACATCAGCAGTTCTTTTAACAGTTTACAATAGGTTGTGGCTGCTCCTTTCTTTCCTAGTCTGGAAATAAGTGTTATTGACTGATCTTGTAAGTTAATTACCCAGTTTCCATGGTTGTTGTTATTTGCATGATTGGAATAAGTCAGCTATGCTTTGTTTTCACCAATTGCTGCAGGAAACAATTAGAAGAAATGGCATCTTGTTTTCATAAGAATTCAGTAGAAGAACTTGCAGAGTGTATTGTCAAAGCTACATCAGAGGAAAGGCAGAAAATGTTGCAAGAATTTTATGGTGAAAAGTATACAGCGTTAAAAGACCTATTAAAAGTTGAAGTGCCAGTGTCTGTTTCAGAAGAGAGTGTGGAAAGAGATGGGCACAGAACCCAGTCCAGAAAAAGAAAGTATATTTCTAAACATGGAAAATCAAAATCTGATCCTTCAACAGATCTCTGTGGCCAAAGATGTTATGATACAGAAGCAAAGACGTTTCAGTTCGATCCCTGTATACAGGCTGCTGTATGTCATAATGTGGAAGATAAACAATTGCCCACTGTCATTACCCAAGATAGCATTAGAGGGAGAAACAGTCAGGCATTCAAAGACTTTATGGCATCTGACTCATTAAGCAGTAAATCAGGACTAATTGAGGGGCTGTCTGCAAATACTACTAAAGGACAGCTGAACTTGAATGGGACAGAGTCGCCAAGAAAACCTTTTCTGTCTCAGCCAGAAAGCAGACAGGCTCAAATATGCAAGAAAGACTCTTTTGCAGACCTACTAGGAGACACCTCCATTTTAAATGACCTCTTCAGAAGTAACGGGAATAGACTGACAGAGCTTCCCAGGAGGTCCCTTTCAGGGCCTGTGGAAAAAGCAAAAACACGACCAAAAGATTTCTGGGACATGCTGAATGAACAAAACGAGGAGAGTTTCCAAAAACTCACAGACATGGCAGTCATCGAGAAGCTGTGTGAACGAGCTCCTCTTGCCACTTTATCCAAGAAGAAGGAAGAGGATGAGAAGTCACTTTGGATGAAAAATGACAGTTTTTTATGGAAAAGATATCATGTGGCTGATAAAGATGACAACTCTTCATCTGGCACAGGACATGACCTCTAAATACCTAGAAAACAAGCGGAAAATATCCACTGGTGCTATAACATAATACATTTTGTTCTTAGCTAACCCATTCCAAGCTCCTTTATGGTGCTTTCTGATTTTCAGTGATATCTTCCTTTTACAGATCCTTCAAGATAAAGGATTACAAAAGCAAAAGTCTTTGAAGAAAAAAAGCCATATTGGAGTAGTATAGAGAATGAAGTAAATATTTTCCTTGTGTTTTTGTTGTTGACTTGCTCTCTTGCTTCTGGCTAAATATGAAATTTTCAATTTCTATCAATTTTAATTGAATATAGTAATATTAAAATAAGAAAGTACTATCCGTCCCTATAGGAGAGCAGTGCACATTAATATGGCAATTTAGATTAGGCAGGATAACATCCATGTTCTCTCCTCATTAGCATGCATGCAAGCTCAGTGCATCTTCCATACCTCCATCTAAGGTCCACTTCTGTTTGATCAGTTCTTTCAGTCCCTGTTCACACTCTGAGTCGGGACTGAGTGCATCTTCCATACCTCCATCTAAGGTCCACTTCTGTTTGATCAGTTCTTTCAGTCCCTGTTCACACTCTGAGTCGGGACTGTGGAGAGGAAATATGAAGATCTCTCAGTGCACAGACATTGTAGCCTCATGTGAATAGTTTTATATGTATATTTTATTGTGATTTATTGATCTATTGTTCTGTCACATTTTCTGAAGTCGCCAAGGCAGAAATTATGATGGAAATCCATAGTTATAGTATAACTGAAAACCAATTTGGAACTGCATAGAGCAAAATCAAAGTTAACTGCAAGCACTTTGAAATAAAGGGTCCTGTCCAAATTCGTCATACTTAGAGTAAACCCATTGAAATCAATGAATTTTAGAATTAATATTAGTGCTGTTGCTTTAATTGGTGTATTTGAAGTATAAATAAATCTAGGCACCACTCAGAATTGCTCCAGGCCAAATGTGACATCAGGGATAACTTGTACTTGCTGAACTAGTTCTAACAGCCCTTGCAGAAGGTTGCAAATCTATCAAGGAGAAAGTATCTTTAGACATCACAAAGTTAGCCTGGAGCAGAGAGCTCTGTGCTGCTCCTCTGCAGCATCTGAAAGTAATTTGGAAGATAAAGCAATTCCACTGAGATCATTTACACAGCAAGGTGTGTAACTAATAGTACATGCCTGCAGGGCAAGCTCGAGTGTCTCACTGTTCATACCTGTCTAAGACTGAACCTGAATATAGTCTGGATTTAGCAACATGGTAACTAGAGCCTTGTCACATTTTATTGGAATTAAACTTTTTAATTGTAGTGTTTTAAATAAAGGTGATAAAAACCTTTCATTAAGCCTAATTTAAAAATACACACAGATTTTAAGTGGTAGTCTGAAGTCATACCTACATCTGCTTCTTACAGTGGGATGTATTCTCAGCCTTATGAAGTCTGGCAGGTCAGTAGTGTTTAAGGCGGCTTGAAAAGAACAAATCAGCTGCAAATTATACTTTGTATTAGTCTATATCTTTTATTTCTAACTGGGAATTTAAACCATGCTTCGATAAATATACTATTTTATAGCTAGGTCATAACAAATACTGAACGTAACAGCATTTAGAGTTGTTGAACACAACTTATCAGAGACTGCCATGTAATGGAGGTTGTGAACAGTCTGTGCTAGCTTTATTCAAATTAATGAAAATAACACAGCAAGTTTTTCTTGGTGGATTTCATCTTTTGCTCCATTACAACATTTCTTAAAAGTCAGTTCTGACTGAAAGTCACCATGTGTAAGTTGCTGATATACGTATGAATTGCTGGCTTAAAACTTTTAATTAAAGGTACCTTCCATACAAGCTTAGACAGACGTAAGACCTACAACTCCCAGAATGAGTTTATTATTTTATTTTTTTCTATACCGTCTTATATTTTCAAAGAATCTCAAGACAGTGCAAAAAAATGCCATATGCAGGGAGTTGCGGGGGGGGGGGTTGTCTCTAAACTCGAACAGGATTGTGCCCAAACAAAAATATTTTTTAACTTCCTAAAACTTAGTGTAATTCACCAACTGAGTTCTGTACCAGAAAAGTGATGAATGACTAAGAAATACTAGCTTGCATGAAATTCTTATAAGCATTACATCAAAAAATAAAAAAAATATTTTACACAGAAGATCTTAAATGTGTATTTGCATTCTTCCATAGCATGGGAGGGTTGGGGAAGGTGTGCCCATCCACACATAGCCTTCCATTGGCTATGCCAGCTGAGTTGATGGGAGCTGTAGTCCACCAGCATCCATCACACATTCCTCACTCCTGCCATCTAAAGTTTCATTGGTTTCTGTGTGGTTCAGTTTCTTCCTTCTTTTGGATAAATTGTGGGGATGGTGATGAAAACATTTATCTCTGAATAATTCCAATGATCTCTGCATTATCTGAATGTCTTGTGCTGGTACTAATTTCTTGTTACTTTTACAGTATTCCACTATTTAACAAAAACCATGATTTTCTTCCTTTTCCATGGCAAAAAATACAGTTTCAGCCTATTGTGTGAATGCAAGAGTTACCATATCCAGAGTTATTTATTTAGCTAATATTTAATATATTATTCAAGGTGGTGTACCTAGTGAGATGACATTAAATTGTTTATTCATTCCTACCTGTCCTTTACTCTCCAAAATGATTTCTAAAAACTATGCAACAGGACTACTTTTACCTAAGACTATGCACCATATCACACTATTACAGTTCGTAAATAGCACTGCTCTCAACTGGAACAGCAATTTCTGTCTCCAGGGGGCACTGTCATTTTCACAACAGAAGGAAGGAGCCCGTGGCTCCATTGTTTATGGGCTTTTTGCTGACATTTAATCTAGAGCAGGGGTGTTGAACTTCATACCTTGGGCCAAATGTTTCTGTTATGATTTTATTTTATTCAGATTTATCATCCACTGAATCAATCCAAAGGCCCTCTAAGTGGATTACAATCCATAAAACATATAACAATAAAAACAGTAATTAAAAATATACAAAAAACAAAACTGTGCACAGCTGATGTCCATGTTTGCCAAGTTCCCGCTTGCTAAACAGCACTCACACAGAAACTCTTTGCTGGATGTGGTTCCCACTGCTGCTTCTCTTCTCTTCATCGCTGTCTAGCCAGAAAACTGCTACCTACATTCACTCTCTCCTTCTGATGCTGTGTAATATTTTTGGGCCAAAAACAGGCTAGGAGACTGAAGAATAATTTAAAATAGAAATTGATATTTAGAAGCCTGTTAACCCTCCATTTGCCATAGTGTGCAGGCCTTTGGAACTTCCCAGGTCATGTGTCTTTAGGACATGACCTCAAATTGTCAACTCCTTACTGAGGGACTATCACTAAAGTATGAATTGCCTCATGTTGTCTCTAGATCATGCCCTCCACAATTCCCCTTAGAGTCCCACTGCCTTCTCCTGACTGCAAATAATTTAGTGGTTTCCCAACTTCTGGACAGATTTTTTTTCTATTCCAAAAGGATGAAATGCCTCTCCCACGGCTTAGTAGCTGGCAGGAAGAGCTCTGGCTAAAATGCCCAGCCCCTCTTGTATTTCTGGGCCCACCCCTTTTGCCATTGGCCTTCCCCATCCTTGGAACGCTGCCTCCAAGAGCTTGGAAACAGAACTTAGACCTTGGGTACAAGAAGGTTCAGTATGCCCAGATCTGAAGAGACCACTGGTGGGTCTGTTGCTTTCCTGAAAATGTGTGGTTTCTGTGTCTGCTTTAGACTGCTGAGAAAACAAAGTTCAGAATACACAGTAACTTTCTCTGTTTTACTATAATATTTGTGGTTTCTTCTCTTTTCAACTTTTAACTCTTTGACTACTTCGGGTGAAGGTGACTGAGACAGACCTTCCTGCAGCATCTTCCTTCGTGCCCATGTGCTGTAGCAAGCAAGCTGATGTGTAAAACTTTCCTTAAAGTTGAAAACTGATGGATTAGCATATCCCTGAGAGTTCTGTTAATGTTGGAATGGACAAAGGATGGACAATACCCCAGTCTATTTAGTTGAACACTACTATGCACACATTCATGGGCATATTGTAAGCCGTTCTGAGATCTTGTATAAGAGGACGGCATACAAAAGCTTTTAATAAATAATTGTGTTCACATACATGTCCTCTGAAACCACCATCTGGCCCCTAAGTCATTGATTGTAATACAGTCGTGTAATGAGAAACAAATCCTTCACTAGTGACAAAATTGCTATAATGTAAGCACCACGATACATTATTTGCTGGGATTTATGCCACATAGCACACATTTTAGTGGACCATGTTGTGGAAGGACCTTTTTGTGATGTATAGTTCCTTTAAACAAAACAAAACAATTTTGGTTTGTGTGACTCCCAAAAGTTTTGAAAATTCTGATTTAGTACTACATAAATACAAAGATTTGTGTGTGTTCTTGCCTATGAGTATATTATATAAACTATTTTATGCAAGGGGAAATTATTCTGAACCCTAGGCACTGATGCTGAACACAGCAATCTGTGAACTGTGATGGTTTTTGTGGTCTGGATGACTGCCCAACTGAAAAAAAAGCTTAAATTTGATCTGTTGCAGATTCTCCTTTAGGTCATGGGAAGATGCTATAAGCTTCACTTTTTCCTGCATTAGCCAGGATATATTTCAACTTACTAAAAATGAAAGAAGTTGGATTCCGAGAAGAAGCTTCATTGCTTCAGGTACTTAGCATGTATAATTATATAAAACTGCACTTGTGTTTTACTTAACACTTAAGCAACAAGGATTTCATCCTACTCTTGTCCTTCTAAGTGAAGTCTGAATTTTTTTTTAGTTTAAAATGACCAAATGGAACATATTTTGAAGAAACAGTGATGAAAAACCAGACATGTGTGTATGAAGTATTCATTCCCCCAGGTGAATATCCAGTGGAAGTACCTTTGACCACAACTACAGATATGAGTCTCCCCATCTATCAGCTTTTGTGCTTGGGATCCTGCAATGTTTGTCCTTTCTTCCTGGCAAAATTGTTCCAGGTCTGACAGATTGGATGGGGCCCATAAGAGAACAGCAATCAATGTGACATATATAATGACATATAATAGATGGCTACGTTGATCTGCTTCCCTAGGCAAGCAAAGTATGCACAGCTTCTGTTGTAGATCAAACTGACCGATGACATGGTAAATAATACTTAACACAAGGTTTGGCAACTGTTTTGGACCTGTGGGCACATTTAGGAATTTGAGGAACTGCTCTGGGAACCACCATAAAATGCCTAGTCAGTGGATCACTGCTTTGGCATCTACCTGTCACATCTATGGATCTTCAGCAAAGACATTTGTGTCATGTCTACTTGGGCATGACAATGTCTCTTTAATTAGGGATGGTTTAATTCTGGTGATAGCTGGCAGCATTATACAGCAAAAGTTTTCAGTGGAGTCAGAGAAGGTATCACACAGATCAATTATGCTGGAACAGTCGCTCATATACATTGATGTATATAGTCTCTTAAATTATTTATCTGCTTCATGGAAATCAACAAATGGTCAGCATAAATAGGTTCTCTGTGCCCCTTTGACAGCTATAAAACTAATACTGCAACACTGGAAGGATCAACATTCACCTCATAATGCCACAGATTCTTAATCAGACCATTCTAAGATACGCAAGAGAGTTATTTTTGGTCTCACCAGACCAAAGAACCTTTTCTGTTTCTATGCAGTGTCTCTCCTGTGCCCTTTTGCAAATTCCAAATGAACTTTGATATGGGTTTGTTTCAGCAGTGGTTTCTTTTTACCACTCTTGTATAAAATCCAACTTTGTGGAATATCTGGGTGATAGCTGTCCCATGGACAGTTTCTCAGTGTGGATCCCACCAGCTTTTTCAGTTACCATTGGCTTCTTGGTCACTTTTCCAACTAACACCTTCTTATCCAATCATTGAGGTTGGGTGAACAGGTTTCACTAGGCAGAGTCACAGCTGGGAGTCATGTTCTTTCCATTTTATAATAATACATTTAACAGTGTTTGGGGGCATGTTCATAATTTGATTTTCGTGCTTCTGCGCAACTTTTTCCTGAGTTGTTTTGATATCTCTTTGGTTTTCATAATGCTGTTTGTTTACATATGCTTTCCAACAAACTCGGGGGTCTTCCAAGAAACAAGCATATGTAGCACTTGAATTGCGCAGAGGTGGACTCCATTCAACTATTCACAGTATGTAACTTCAGGAGGTTGCGGGTTGCACCAGAGTTTATTTAGGCATTTCGCAGCGAGCAGGGTGAATGCTGCTGCAAGGAATTAAATTTGTCCTTACATCTGATAACTGGGACTGCCAGAAGGGTAGGTTGCCTCCTACTTTTTCCTTTTTGAGAGATGCTTATTGCATCTTGCTCTGGGAGTAGAAAGTAGTAGTAGTGGTAGCAGTAGTAATTGCTGTTTTTAAGAGCCAAAAATGGTTGTGTAGTATGATACAGCCCTCTTCTCTCTTTTTTCCTTTTCTTGCATGACTTTTAGCTGGTATTATTACTCTCAAGTAGTGAAGCCAGAATGAAGTTATGAAATATCTACTTAAGTGAGGGCAAAATGTTTACATTATGCTAGCATGTGTTCTGCACATGGCACATATGGCACAGATCCTAAAATACTTTCAAGAGCTGATACAAGTTATATTAGGACAGCACTCTGTGTTTGTACATTGCACGTAAACTGCAGGTGCTGGTTTATAATGTGTCTGTGAAAAGATGAGAGTGTTCCATCAGAAATGCTAAAACTGACTTAAATGAAATGTTGGATTTTTTGTTCCCTTCAAAATGCCTAAGCAGAACCCCAACAACATCCATTTTGTTGTAAAAGCAATTTGTCAAATCATGTTTCTATAAGATCGAAATGCATTGTAAAAATTAATAAGCAAAAACAACAGAATTTATTTAATTAAGATTTTTACAGCTCCTGCTTACAACATTTAGGAATGTA